CTGGCGACCAGTCGCGCGATCGGTCGCGCGACCGGTCGCCGGTGGGTCGCGACCAGTCGCGCGACCGGTCGTGGACTATGAAAGATGCCTTTTTCCGGGTAGCCCTTCTAATGTTTGATTCCAAGAAAATACTTTTCGATGCTTATGGGGAACAAGCTCCATCTGAACGAAGCTGCAGAGATGGTTTCAAGTTTTAGAAGTGGAGATTTCCTCTTGAACGACAAGGAACGTCTAGGCCAGCCGAAAAAGTTTGAAGATTCGCAGCTGCAAGCATTGCTGGATGAAGATCCAGCCCAGACCCAAACAGAGCTAGCACTGGAGCTGAGCGTCAACCGCGCAACTATTTTCCAGACGCTTGCACGAAATGGGAAAGATAAGAGAGCTGGGAAAGTGGGTCACTCACCAGCTGTCAGGAAAGCAGCTTGAAGCACGCGTGACGGCTTGCAGAAAAAACCTCGAAGACCACAAGAGGACAAACTTCCTTCACAGGATTGTGACTGGGGATGAAAAATGGTTCTATTACGATAATCCAAAACGGAAAGCAGCATATGTGGATCCAGGCCAACCAACGAGTTTGCAACTAAAGCAGGATATCCACTGCCAAAAAGGAATGGTGTGTATTTCGTGGGATCAAAAGGGTATTGTCTACTATGAGCTGCTGAACCCAAGTGAATCCATTACTGCTGACCGCTACGAACGCCAACAAATTGAAAAATTATCGAATGCTCTCACCCAAAAGCGGCCGCTAGTTGCAAGAAAATGTCATAAGGTGCTGTCCCACGACAATGCCAGACCCCATGTTGCAAAAAATGTCCTTAAAAATTGCAAAATTTTGATGGAATCAGCTAGGCCATCCCGCATACTCACCGGATCTTGCCCCTCCTGATTACCACTTATTCCGGTCCATGCAAGTCAGATTGGCAGATACACGCTTTCGGAATGCCGAAGAAGTGCGGAAGTGGGTGGATGACTGGATCGCCTCAAAAGATGAAGACTTTTTTAGACGCGGAAACAACAAGCTACCAGAAAGATGGCAAGGAGTTGTAACTAACGATGTACAATACATTGGTTAAGGTATACTTTGTTTTGATTCTGTTATAAATACGCTTTAGCGGGAATGCGGGAATGCGGAAAAGGCGGAATTAATGCACACACCTAATATTTGAGTCTTGTTGAACTTGTGTCTTGTTGATCGTTGAATTGACTTTGAGGACTAGAAGACGTTCTGGACTAGAAGCTGCGAGCTTTCTTGTCTCCCCTGATACATCATGAACCGAGGGTTTCATGATAGCCCCCAACGGAGTTCACCACCAAGCAGAGAGCCAACATGCTCTTTGGTCAACTGGACGGTTCGAATATTGCTCTCGTTGGAGTTTCGGCGCTGTCGCTGCTCATCAGCAGAACTTCTTGTAGTGTCCGCAACAAAGATACGATGCTCTAATGTAGCTGTCATTCTGCAAGCAGGAGTAGGGGAATGAACGACTTTGCCAATCGGCTCCGTGACGGCTAGTGAAGATCGAATCATTCAGAATGAGAGCGTCACGAGAAAAGTTGTGCCTGTCTTAGGAGGGTTATACGATAGTTCGTTGAGCTGGATGACCGCACTTTTTTGAGCAGGAGGTAACGAAGGCGCAGGTAATAGGTTAACTCTTCAGCGGAGCTACTAAGGATAGACTCGTCATTCCTGGCAGGCATGAGGTGGTAAAGGCGTTAACCAAAGGTATTGTGCTCGAATAGAACAGCTCCTTTTGATCTACAGTCGACGCGCACCCTGACTCCGTTCTTTAATCTTGTTTATCCCATGGCCTAAAAAACCCATGTCCATCAGAGCCCCCTCGTCTTGCCCCAAAACCACACGTCTTCTGTAGTCTCCTCTTCGCGCCAAATGCTAAGTCCGCCAAGGCGCCACTTCGATACGCTGTCCGGCGTTTGTTCACGAAGCTAGTTTATTTCCGCTGGTACCGGACAAGACCTGATGAAATGCCTTCGCATGATTCTCGACGGAAGAATCTAGGCCTAGCGCGTTTGAAAATGAGGAGAGTGGGGTCCGACTTAAACCTTTCGAGAAAAATTTGGATGCTTGAGAGGAAAATCCGTCTTTCCAAGTATGGTATATTCAGAGCATGCCGAGGAAGAGTTTCTAGATTTGATTATTACATACCAGTCTCAAAAGATGCGAGTTTTCCAATTCCTTTTTTCATCGCTGCGTTAAATTACTCAGAATGCTTCCGAGTAATTTCTTCGGAAAAATACAAGTTTAAAATCGATATTAGAGGATCCAGCCTTGCAACAAATCTTGTCTCTATGATTCGAATGGCAATATGAAGAACGAAGCGCATTAATCGTCGATGATCTCATTTGGCACACTATGCTTCATACACAACTCAAGTTTTGACATCGGGTGTTATGTGGTAATGAAGCTTCTGTCTGAGCAATTCAGCTTCTGGACCCAGCCTCGCCACTACCCGATCGCTACAATGCCATCTTTCTACAACTAACTCTAGTGGATTGAGGTGCGAGTGATTTCTTGAGTGTTACATGTTCTGGCTCATTCTGGATGTCGGAGCCACCAATGACACCCTTGCTAAAGTGAGATTTGATGATGTGTATGAATTTATGTAATGTGTCCAAATTATATTTTCTATTTATTTTCTCGTGTCACATCCTTGTGATGTATTATCAAATAAAATAAATAAATGTGATATTATTGCACTACAGGAGACGAAAGGCAGAACGGAAACCATTTGAAAAACGGACCACAACGAGCTGCTCATCATCGGACCCAAAGCGAACGGCAATGTTGGTGGAGTTGGATTTCTGATCAATTCGACAGTCGCCCACCTAATAGACTCGCATAACATCGTCAGCCCGCGTCTTGCTGTGCTCCGTCTGCGCACAAACGACCGGGTTGCAGTTTCTGTCATCAATGCATATGCACCTACGTCCGCGGCTCCAGAGGATGAGCGAGAGGAGTTTTATAGACTTTTGGAGAAGACGATTCAAGAAGAGAAGAGCTACTAAATATGTCGTAGGCGACTTCAACGCCGTAGTGGGCACGAACTGCAGTGAAGATTGGAGATTCGGACCTTATGGCTCTGGCGACAGGACCGAAAACGTAGAACTCTTTCTGAACCTTCTATATGCATGCCGCCTTTTCCATAGAAACTCCATGTTCGAGAAAACAGCTAAGCGACGATGGACTTGGGAGAGTCCAAACGGCCGAACACATACAGAAATAGATCATGTTCTCACTAATCGACGCTGGAGTCTACTTGATGTATCCGTGTTGACACCGGCTCGGATCATCGCCTTGTGCGCGCAAAAATACGACTCAACAAGCGGATATTCAAGCGCGACACGCACAGGCCCGCACACTACAAGACTCCCTCCTTTGATACAGAACTACTCGAATCTGCCATCGAAGCCTATGATTGGCGTCTCTTAGAGGATCCCACAGAAGATTACGAACACCTAATAAAAGGATTGTTTAAGTGTGCAGACATCTCCCGTCGTTCACAGCTAGCAGGAATCCCGAGGTTGAATGCTCTTGCCGTATCCCTCTTGGAAAAAAGGAGAGCACTCAAACAGGATCCCAACGCCAACCACGTAGAAAAAATCCTCGTAAACAAAGCCTGCCGTATGGCTGTCAAGCAATCTCTTCGAGAGTACAGGAAATCCAAGTTACTGAAAGCAGCCAAAGCGATCGAGCATCAGGCGCTGCAAATGAGATCTCAACGATCAGAAAACTGTGATGTCCGCTCTCTTGGACAAAGATAAAAGCGTGAAAACGTCTAGAAGTTCCATGGAAAATATCGTTCAAGACTTCTACACAGAACTCTTTCGCTCCTCTACTTTTGTGCCGAAATGCTCGATGCCGCCATATGAAGAGCCTCCCGCTATCCTGGATTCGGAAGTGGCAAATGCGATAAGAAGCATGAAGAAAAGTTAAGCTCCAGGCTTGGACAATATTCTTGCGGTTTTGCTGCTCTCTGGAAGTACCGCTCTTCACACCCTTCTTGCGGAACACTTCAACCATTACCTCAAATTGAAAGGGAGTCCAGAGCAGTGGAAGGAATCGAGAATCATTCTTCTTTTCAAGAAAGGTCAGCGAGAGGACATCTCCAACTTCCGTCCCATCAGCCTACTATCGGTGGTATACAAGACATTCACAGAAATTCTGCTCCATCGCATGGAACGCATCTTGGTCGAATACCAGCCAGTAGAGCAAACTGGATTCAGGAAAAACTTCTCGTG